CGATGGTTTGTGTGTAAACTTCCCGAAACAGATAATCATTATTTAAATATTTGATTTGTAAACTCAACGAGTTATTTGAAGTACACTATAAATTCATATGAATTTATTTTCAAACAGTCATTGAAATCGCGTTAATCTAAGAGAGGAGGGAATAAATTTCTGATAACAAGAACTGCACCTCAAAAATAGTTTATGGATTTGTGACAGACCTGTCCTACCATTGATGTTGCCATTAATCTCGGTGTGATTTATGCGGACAGATAGGGGTTTTTGAACAGTTTAATTATGTTCATACAGTGCTGTCTATAATGTACAATATGAAAGAGCATTGAATGGCAACAAATTTAGATTCCGGGAATAACTGTTGTAAACTAATTATAATTATCCCATGATATATCCTATAAATTAAATAAATTAAAACTTGGTACGTATCTAGATACTTTATAAATCAAATTTATAACCTATTGTTCTGACTTGTAAAGTAATATTTATGACATAATATTTAGATAATGAACTTTTAAAGTGACATAATGTAAATAAAATTATTATTATACTGAATATTAAATATATTAAATGAGTTAATAAAACATTAAATTTTGCTGAATTCGGAGAATTAATGTTGAAAAACATAATAGGATTTATAAATTTAAATGTAAGCATTATATAAATTATAAATCAAAATCCGCTAATTTTCTAAACTATCCTTGAAATTTCAAAACATGTTTGTTTTTTGGCAAAAAAAACTTTTTCTCCCAAAAAACCCTTATAATTACGTATGACATAAGAGAGTCAAAGGCATATTCAGTACATATAACACACTATTAGTATTTGATTAGGAATTCCAACAGAGAGACGACGCTTAGAAATGCATACAAATTATATAATTTTTACAAAAAAGTTATTTAGATTACAAAATGATATATAAAATCAAATAACATATAATATAACAAAAATTCACAAATATTGACCCAAAAGGCAGAAGTTTTGCTGTTATTCATACGCTTTTTCGTATTGTATCGGGTATTTAGTTCACAGATCATAATCAAAAGCTATCAATAAAACAAAACAATAATAATAATAATTTTTTATAAAATATCTGTTATTTTCATATGAATTGTGTACACAATATTGCCTTATGTGTAGTTATGTATTCATTCACTCTTTTCCTTTATATCGATATAATAATCGTTATGAAAAATAAATTTAAAATTTATTAAAAATATGATTACATAGTATTATTATGGTATAGATATTATTATTTGCGTTTTTATGATGAGACCATTAGAGATGGCAATTGTATACCAGATATGATAAACCCATATCTGATGCCATAAACGCCAGTATAATATTTTGTGTGCAAACTTCTTACGTTTGATCCCTATTTTTCAAACGATTTATTATTACAATTATCTCTTGGGTTTTGAACAGCGAATGAAATCTCACCAAAAATAAAAATAGGATTTTTATTTCGCCCTTAAATACCATCAAAATTTTAGAAATAAAACTTTTTCTCCTCTTATTTATAAATTTATATCACTTTATGTATCCATTCGTTGGATATTTATGCAAAAAAAAGTATAGTTCTTATAAAAAAATTAGTTTCAAATTAGGTTTTTCATGATTTTTAATTGAGTTTATTTTCTTTTTGTTAATTATTTTATAACTATTTATATATTTAAGTTTTATTTGCGAAATTGCAAATTGTATCCATAATATCGTAAATAATGGATTATAAATTGTTTGTCATATTTATAATTGCATTAAATATGCGCCAAATATTTGGTGCATTTCAATACCCAGCGGTCAAAAGAGACGATAGCTTTTCTAAAGACTATTTTGGCACAACTGTAAGCATTTATAAAATTATTAAATTGTTATAAAAATTAATTAAATTATAAATTGAAATATTTTATTAAAATAATGATTATAATCTATAATTAGGTGAAAGATCCGTACCAGTGGTTAGAATTTCCGGACACCGATGAAACCAAAAGGTTTGTGACCGACCAAAACGGTGTCACTAAACCATACGTTGAGACCAATCCATACCGAAAAGAAATCACCAAAAAGTAATTGAAGTCATAAATAAAATTACTAATATTTATCTATTAAACCATAAAAATATAATTTGTATTTCAAATATAAGTTTCGAAGATCTCTATAATTATCCCAAATATGGCATTCCGTCCAAAAAGGGCACCAAATATTACTATTCGGCTAATTCTGGTCTTCAGAACCAGAATATCATATACTCGACGGAATCGTTGCAATCGGCAGAAGAGCCCAAACTATTCTTAGACCCGAATCTGTTGAGCAGTGATGGGACGACATCTCTTCAGTTCACCTCATTCTCCAAAGACGGCAAATTCTGCGCCTATGGTATCAGTAAAGGCGGCTCCGATTGGATCACTATTAAGATCAAAGACACGGAAACATTGGCCGATTTGACGGATGAGTTGAAAAAAATAAAATTCTCGTCTACTTCTTGGACTCACGACAATCTGGGCTTTTTTTATGCGGTAAACAAACAAACATTTCTATATTTACTATATTTACTACAAAACTAATCCATCACTTGATTCCGCACTAAAGCAATACGACGAGTACGACGGGACGGGTGAGGGAACTGATCCGGAACCGCCCAAGAATCAGAAACTATTCTACCATAAAGTGGGAACACTGCAGACCGCGGACATCATGATCACTAAATTTGTAGATAAACCTGATTGGTTAATGTAAGTAACAAAAACAAAATATTTTCAAAACTTAACAAATTGTTTATTATCTACAAAACAAATAATAAATTGTCTTTTCAGAGGAACACCAGTAGTGAGCGATGACGGGAAATACGTGCATATCTTTCCACAGGAGGGCACGTCGACCAGCGCCTGGTATTACGCAAAACTGGTCACTCCGGTCACCGCAGAGCTGACCTTCACTGCCGTCAAAGACAAATCGGACGGCGAGTACTATTACGTGACCAGCGATGACAACTTGGTTTACCTGCGAACCAATAAGAATGCCCTTAAATTCCGTGTGGTTAGAGTGGATCTCGATAAACCGGATGAGGTAATAACACATCCACATAGGATTGCCATTATTTAATCTAAATGTTGGGCACAATTTTAGGCCAATTGGGAAAACATAGTCCCCGAACACGCCATCAGTGTATTGAACGACGCGGTGGCCGTCGCTAATGACTATCTGGCCGTCGTATACATGAGAGATGTCGTGCAGATCATTGAAATACATAATCTCAATGATGGCAGATATCTGTGGGATATCGACACTCCCATCGGCACAGTTGGCGGTCTGAGTGGTGATCGAGACGGCAAAGAATTATTCTACAAAATGACATCGTTTCTCAATCCCGGAATTATATATCGATACGATTTCAACACTAATCCCAACACTATTAGCGTATGAAAAAGTTTTCTGTCATAATGTTCAACCAAATTGTTTAATTGAGACATAATTGACACAAATAGGTGTTCAAGTCATCGGTGATCGCGGGTTTGGATACGAGTGAATTTGAGACCAATCAGGTCTTCTACGCGAGCAAAGACGGCAAAGTGAAAGTTCCCATGTTTTTGGTCCATAGGAAGGTATGTGTGCTCTACAGTGTAGAAGTCTCTACACACGTACTCTATATGGTCAGCATTTTTCATTATTTATTATGATTAACCAGAATATCAAACTCGATGGCTCTAATCCCACCCTATTGTACGCTTATGGAGGCTTCAACATCAATATTCAACCAGGATTTGATCCGTTGGGCACTTTTTTCATTAAACACTTAAATGGTATCTACGCGGTGGCCAATATCAGAGGCGGCGGGTATGCGCTATCACATACTAATTTACAATATACTAAATATTTACATCATCACCTTTTATAAATTATAATTAACGCTTTATAAATACTGATAGTGAATATGGTGAAAGTTGGCACGAGGGAGGGATGCTATTGAATAAGCAAAATGTTTTCGA